TGGGCGGTCCGGGGCGGGGGTTGGGCCTGCACGGGAGAGGGGCGGGGCCTCGGGGCTGAAGGCCGGCTGGAGGGGTAGTTGGGGCGAGCGGGACTCCGGGAAGTTACCCCCAGCTGCGCTGGGGAAGGGGGTACGTCCAGGCTGCATGTGTCTTACTGTTCTGCGGAGAGGGACTTAGAGATGTTGTCAGAGTTGGATGTCTCTTTAAGGCTCTCTTCCACGCCCCACCCACAACCGCCTCTGGTTGAACGTCAGGTCTGCACTGGTTGGAATAGGAATGTCATTCATTGAGTGCCCTGAGTAGTACTCCCTCTCCCCCCTTTTTTTGTTCCTGAGATCAGAGTAAAGTTGGTCTTCCTTTTTCCCAAACACCCCCCGTTTCCCCCTCCGGCCGCCCCCCTCCTCCCATGCTTAAGTCAGGTCTACTTTGGGTGGTACAGTATAGGACTGAGAATACAGGTTGGTTAAAAGAACGGGACCTGGAATCAGCCAGTTATAGGTTTAAATTTGACTGTCACTTAACCCAGCTTCGTGAACTTAGAAACTTAAGCTTTCCAGCCTCTATTTACTCAACTGTAAAGGAGCTGTTTGTTGTGCCTCCTTCCTAGGGTAGGTCTGGGGATTAAATGAGGTGTGTGCATAAAGTATTTAGTCTGGTACTCAGTAACTACTCAGTAAATGTTTTCACCGCTTAGGAAACGGGCATAGGGGGAGCTAGGGAGTTGCTCAATTGTGCACAGGTGTTTTCAGTTCCCATGCTTTTCACATTGCCATTGCTGCTTCTCAGAGCCTTGCTTTTCAAACTGGGCTTTACAGTTTGGCAGGCGTGAGGAACGCTGTTTTGGAGGGATTGAGGAAGGAGCTGGCTGGAGGAGAAAGGTGAAGAAAGGAGAAATCAAAAGAGACCGATATGTGGATGGAGTATTCAGGTTATCAAAATAGGACTGTGGAGCTAAAGCTAGACCAGGTGTCCGAATGAGGAGTATGTTTTATTCATCTGTCTCCCAAGGGCCAAGTAATGTGGCTGGCTGGCACATGACAGGAATTCAGTGAAGGTCTCTTGACTGAAGGAGGGAAGAAGGGTTTGTAGAAAATTGGATCTGTGACAGCTTTTCAAAAGGCAGCTGCATGTGCAGGACATAAAATTGAAGGAACTAAGTGCATTTGGTTAAACTACATTTCGGAGGAAAGGCCTAACCGGAGGTTTTGAATGTGAGTCACTTGCACTGATTGTAATGCCCACTAGGGGGAATGGTGAAACCAAA